TTTTTTTTGTTGTTAAGTTGAGCTGTCATTTTATTTATTTATATTCAAAGTGTGGCTGTCATTTTTTGACGTTTATAACATTTTCTTAGGTTATGTTGTCATTTATTTGTTGTTGTTGTTTGGAGGGTTTGTGATGGCGGCGGTTGTGACTTGCGGGTGTTCCTTTATCGGAGGCGGCGGTTGGAGGAACGTCGGCGGCGTCGGTGTGTAAATAAAATTGTGAATTTCCTTAACTCCCAACCTGGAAAACTGTGGAAGTGTGTACGCATGTGTCCCCTGCAGTCGGACAGACCGAGCATTGGGGGCGGCCAAAAGGGCCTTCCGGGTCCACGGTTTTCGGCGGCCCGCTGCACACGATACACGTCTGCGTATCGATCTGTCGGCGTCGCGGCGTGCGACTCGACGCCATTTGCTTTGTTTATCGCGGATCGTGAGGCCGGACGAACGCGCCGGAATCCTTTATTCATTCGCCCACCTCTTCGGCAACAAAAAAAAAACAACAAACAACAACAACAACAAATAAACAAACGAATAGTGAAGAAGAAGCGTTCGTGCCGTCGCCACGGATCTCAACGCAATCTGCATCCGAACAATAAACAAATAAACGGTGCTCCTACACCAGTGTTTCTCGCAAATTATTATTATTTTTTTTGGATACTTTCGTGGACATTTACTTCGATCCAAGGATCCAACCGGTGAGTAGTTTATTCGTATAAGTTTTTTTTTGTTGTTGTTCTTTGTTGGATATCTTTCTCCTCCTCAACGTGAGGACACGCGACGTAAATTAACTTTGTGCGTGTCGTCCGAAAACACAGCGAAGAACAAGTCGTTAGTGCATTAAAAATATATAAAAGTTTTTTTCTTCTAATCCATCGATTCGTATCAGCACAGGACGAAATAATAACCACAGTTCACTCTCAAAATTAACCTTAATTCTTTGAAGCATTTACTACTTTTCTTATAATTATTTTTAATCGTCTCATCAAATTAATGTTATACTCAAAATGCACATAACCTAATAGTTAGTTAAGTTAACCTATAATCTGTCAATTATAAGAATGAGCTATAAAAACAATGACTATGTTTTAATCGTGAAACAACATGTTATGATTCTTGTAATCATGTTATGAAATATAATTTGTTTACTAAAAACAAATATGTGTATATAATCAATGCCATTATATGTATTCTTAACTTGAAATATTTGTATTTTAACCTAAATAACCTTAACTTTCATATCTGTCAATTTTAATCCAGAATGTTAAAAATATAACCTATAATTAAATATGCAACAGATTGAATCAATTATAGGTTATATTCCAAATACATATTTTGTTTTAATAACGTCTATTGTACAATTCCTCTAATAATAAGTTCTTAAATTTCCAATAAAACAATACGAATTT